GAAGGAGAGCTGCCAGCCTGGTCACCAAAGGTCACATGCGAACCCAGGAGCAGGTTTGCATGAAAATCAGGTTGGTCCGGTGAGACCCCCAACCCTGAACCCTGAGCTTCCCCTCCCTCTTCTTCCCCTTGCTTCCCCCTTCCAGCTCCCTCCTCCCAGGTTTCCCCCACCCCTCTCCCACTCCCCTCTTCCCCTCTTCCACCTCTTTTTCCCAGTCTCCTCAGAGGTCCATCCCCCCCTCCCCCCAGTTTTGTTCAATAAACCCAGTTTCTATTTTTGAACATACGTGTCTTGTATTTGACATCACGAAGGGGGGCTAGGGAGGGGTAAGTGGAAGGACGTGAGGGAGGAATTGGGCATGAGCCCCCAGTGGGGAGGACCAGGGAGGCTCTGAGGGCTCTGAGGGGTAGATGCTCTCCTGCAGGGCCTCCTGGATCCTGACAGCTCCCTGATGGACCCCCCAGATGGCAGCCTGCAGCAAGTGCAGCTGGGCTGATGGCAATGATCCCACGAGATGCACCGGCGTATGCAGGGGCAGCTCTGGCTCCATGTGGCCGAGTGCTGTGGAATCCTGAGTGCGGGCACTCAGGGCACTCCATGACAGGACTGCTTTGCTGTCCCTCATCGAGGTAGACAAGCAAGCGGGGAACCCTGAGAACTGTCTGTCCAGGGTGGGGGTCGGGTCCCTTTAAGCACGGAGCTCAGTTATCCTCAGGCAGCAGCCCCACACACAAAGTCCTAACCCGATGCCCTGCTGGCACTGGTTCTGGCCAGACTTAACTTTGGTTCAGAGTCCACTCAGTGTGGATGGGCTATTTCGAAATAGCAAAATGCTATTTTGAAATAATTTTTGTGTATAGATGCGTTATTTCGAATTAGCTTAATTCGAATTAACTATTTCAAATTACGTTAATTTTAAATAGCACTGTAGTGTAGACATACCCTCAAACGGGAAAGAAGACGGGCAAGGGGTGAAATCCTAGAACTTTCCTCCTTTGACTTCAGGGGGGGCAGTGGGTCATGTCCTATTTTCCTATATACAGCAGAAATCAAACACCAAGGGTATGTCTACACTACCCTTCTAGTTCGAACTAGGAGGGTAATGTAGGCATACCGCACTTGCAAATGAAGCCCGGGATTTGAATTTCCCGGGCTTCATTTGCATAAGCGGGGAGCCGCCATTT